CGTGAACCGTCGTCTCACGATACGACACTCGAACAAAATTCGCGCGTCACCGCGCACATAGTAAAGCCGGTCGAAAAGTGGGATTTAGCGGCGCGATACTCGTCGTGGCCGAAATTAATTCGAGTCACCGCTTATATCCTTCGGTTCGCGTCTCGAACTCGCCGTATCAAAACTAACGTCAACGAGGCGAGTCCGCTCGCTCTCTCCGCGGATGAGTGCCGATTGGCACGAGACTTTTGGCTCAGACGAATCCAAGAGGAAGAATTTCCCGGTGAACGAAAAGCGCTCTTGAGCCAAAAGACGATCTCGTCGAAGAGTGCACTCATATCGCTCAATCCCTTTATCGGGGAAGATAAATTAATTCGCGTAGGCGGGCGGTTAGCCCACGCTCCGCTACCACTAACCGCGAAACACCCCATCATACTCTCCTCTCACCCTCTGGTCCTTTTGCTAGTCCAGCACGCGCATGTAAGGTCACTTCACGCCGGCACGCAGCTCACACTCGCTACATTACGCCGGGACGTGTGGATTTTGCGCGCGCGAAATATAGTAAAGGCCGTAATTCACCGATGCGTAATATGCGCCCGCGAAAAGGCGGCAATTCCCACTCCGATAATGGGACAACTGCCTCACGTGAGAGTCTCCCCTTCCGCGCGCGCGTTTCAGCATTGCGGTCTAGATTACGCAGGCCCAATGCGTGTGCGCCCGATGTCCGGGCGTGGAGTCTCATCTCATAAGGCGTATATCGCAATCTTCATTTGCATGGCCACGCGCGCCGTGCACCTCGAGATAGTGAACGGCTATTTGACTCCCGCGTTCTTAGGAGCATATTCACGGTTTTGCGCCCGACGAGGTCTCCCCGCGTCAATCTACTCCGACAACGGAACAACGTTCGTCGGCGCGGACCGCGAAATTCAAGGAGCGTTTCGCGCGGCCCTACGCGATCCGAACTTCTTAAATCGAACCGCCTCCGATCAAGTTACGTGGCACTTCATCTCTCCAGCAGCCCTGCATTTCGGCGGGCTATGGGAAGCCGGAGTTCGAAGCGTGAAGCACCACCTTCGACGAGTAGTGGGGGCTCACACCCTCACGTTTGAGGAATTCGCGACACTCCTGTGCAATATAGAGGCCTGTCTAAACTCCAGGCCGCTCGCCCCGCTCACCGATTCCGCTGACGAATATGAAGCGCTCACTCCCGGTCATTTCTTGATAGGCGCCGCGTTAACCGCGAGCCCCGAAGCCTCCGTGCTTCATCTTAATGAAAATCGGCTCTCGCGTTGGCAAGTGGTCCGTCAGACGACAGAACGGTTCTGGAAGCTGTGGCAAACCGATTACGTCAACACGCTGCAGCAAAGAGCCAAGTGGCGAAAATCTGGGAAGGAGCAAATCCGAGTAGGACAGCTCGTACTCCTTCAAAACCCGTTACTTTCACCGTGCAAATGGGAGTTAGGCCGCATAATCCAATGTCACGCGGGCTCCGATAATGTCGTACGAGTCGTAACAGTAAAGACCGCAACGTCCGAATTCAAGCGGCCCGTTGTAAAAATCTGCGTATTGCCAATCGATATCGAAAACGCCGAAACGCCGGCGTAACTTCGTACACCGTGCCCTATGCACTTATTCGAATCGCCCAAACTTAGCGACCGCCTCGAGCAACGCGCTAGTTCAACCATGCGATTTCGAAACAAAGGTTTCGAGGCGGGCGGTATGTTGGGGATTCCCCCAATTTATTAATGTAAAAATTATATCTTAAACCGTTATATGTACTGCAATATACGTTTCGTTTGCTTCTCACGCGAAATGCTCGATAAGTTCGGAACCGCCGGAAAAAGCCGAGCCGCGCCGAAGGCGAGCGCGCGTCAGCATCCCCACGCGGCTCGCCCGACCGCCGGCCTCCCTTCCAACGAACCCGCCGCGCCGCGGTATATAAGCCGGCGCTCCGACAGGAGCCGACACTTCGTCTTATCTCCGGCTCTCTGCTGCCTTCGACGAAGCCTACCCTATCCAACTTCCTAGGACGACACATAAAACGAGGTCCGGTGCTCCGAGTCTCGACTGAGTACTCTCAGGTGTCCCCGAACTCCAGCCTACCACACCGACGATCACGATTCCGCGGGGTCGAGCACGCTCGGTCTCGTTGCGAGCCCTCTCGCTGTCGTGACCCCGGTGCTTAATT